GAATAAATCATTTCTACACCTTAATGACGAGTGTAGTATTTTCATATCATAGAAATTTTTCAGATCTTACCAGTAGCATTTAGTTTTACAAAAAGGAATTTTGCGCGACTTGTATTTCAGCAACAATTAGTTCTATTGCTGAGGAACTTGGAACAATGTCATAAAATGTACGAGGGTGTGGATGTGGATACGGGTGCTAATCTCTTCTCTTCCCACATCGACACCCACACCCCGTCCTACGAACGAGCTGTAATTAACACGAAATCTTGGTTAGTTTGTAAATTTAGTACATATGTAATAATGTAAAAGTAGCAAAAATCTCTTTATTGTTCATTTTCTTCCTGTTTAGATGGATCAGAAGTGGTCTGTGACTATAATGATTCTTAAGCATTTCTGCGGTCTGATTCTTGCTTAAGCTCTTCTCCGAACAGCTCGACTCGTTCTTGATGAATTATTTTCTGAATTTCCTGCTCATTCGGATATTTCGGTTTCAATGCTTTCAGATGCATCACTGTGCGACACAAATTTTCTGCTTGAACATATTTTTTATGAAAATCCACATCGTCAAAGTCAGCATTATTGACCAAATAGAATTTGAGCGGTTCCGTTTTGAATTTTTCCTTGAAAATCGTTTCTTGCTGCTGCTGTGACAATACCTCAACGTTCGATGGTGTCTCAGGATGGCTGTAGGCTGAGTATTCCATGGTAACTATGATGACGTGTGTGCCTGACTTTTTTTCAGTCGTCGTCGTCTGGCGCATTGGTGGTGGAGGTGGAATGCGTCTTTTTTTTTTGCAGAAACACCAGCACTTGCAGCAATATTTGCAACATTTTTCCCTTCTGACTACTTCGACAACGCGATGAATTTCTATTGTCTCTTGCTTCTCAACAGTTGTTTTCGTATCGGTAATGAAATCTATCTTGAAAATACCTTCGACAGGGATTACTTGTACTTCTTCTCTGATCGCGTATTTTTTTTCCATTCGATTGACCTTTTGTTCAACAAGCGACGAATTCGTTCGATCTTCTTCCGGTGATTTTGTCTGTTTGGCAGATGTTTTGTACAAATGAACGGTCAAAATGGGACTCGTATAGACGTCACCAAATCGAACACCTAGGTAGAAAAGGATCAATTTTCATTCCATAGCTTAGCTTTTGTTCCTTCATATTACCAACCAGCGTAAAAGAGAACATAGCCATAGGGAATTTCCTTCTCTTCGACGAGGTTTTGAACAATTTCTTGTGAAACAGGTGCTGCTTGTATTGGCATAAATACGTTTGGCTTTTTCTTGCGGCAACCGCAGGCACTTCCCATAGTTTGGGTTCAATATTATTATCTGAGATTTCTTTTTTCTGTGAATTATAAATAAAATTGAAAACAGTTAATTTCCGAAAAAAAGAGACTAGATCAAACGCTTCTAAGGCAATTTTTAAAGATAGATAACACATTTTTTTGTAAGCTACTTCCGAGCAGGGCGTAACTCAGCGAGACCCATTGAACAGTGCATTGTGATTCTTGTCCTCAAATATTCCGACTATAACAGTTATTAATGCAATAAGTTAAATCTGATGCATCAAAAGTCCATAGCTTTTTCTTCATTTTTTAAATACATGTCAGTAGACAAAAGACTTTTTTTGTTAACGGTAAGATGACGGTTTTTTCAATACATTTTCACCATAAACTTAAAAATGTTTACATATCTTACTGGTATGCTGCAATTGACATGAATCATGATGGTACTGGCTGATTTCCAACGTGTCGGAACCCTTGAAGGCCTTGGAATGCTCTTACGGGTGGGTGGGTGTGAGTGTGGGTGTTGTAGTGTGTTATGCATCTATTATTACATCCACACCCACAAGCCAGCCACACCGACACTCCACACCCGCACCTACAGCCGAAAGATAATCGGTCTAGCTCATCGTATGCATTTGTTATCTTCTAACCGTATGTATATACTCAGAGATACACCTAGAAATGGATAGACGCTAGGCAACTTTTCCTTCATGCTGGTGTCAAAATCAATCAAGCGACTCAGTGTGATATAAGTCGGGTCGTAAAACGATCGTTTCTGTTGATTTTTTCGCCGTTTACCATGCACCGTATTATGACACGTTGAGAAACGGTCGGATACTGAATTTGTCGACCGTATGATGACCATGATTAGACGTTTACGGCACGTCGATTTACGGTCATAATACGATGCATGGTAAAATGTCAACTTTCGACAATTTACGGCCGTAAACGACGTGAAAGGTAGTATAGCGTGTCGTATACAGCAGTCCTCGTATAGTCCGTTCTGCAGCAACTTGGATAGAATTCCAAATGAAACAAAGAGAAATACAAGCTATACCCCAAAGACCAAATGCGATCGAAGAAAGCACAAGATTCATACAATGGAAGTCTTACTTTTCTCAGCTCAGTTGACTGCTACAAGAATGGAACAGAGAAATTGTGACAAAATGATGCTGCATTTTGCGCCTTTTATACAAAATTGCTCTCTGCTATTGATTTTTTTTTCATCCTACACAAGTTTTTTCTATTTATAAGAGAGAAACGCAGACGAACGACATGCGCAATTCATTACTTCCGATGATGCATGTAAATAAACCTTTAAGGCCAGCAGTATGCTGCGCAAAACGAAAAATGACTTAATGCAGCGTTTTATGATCATTGCGAATGTTTTATCGAAGAAAAAATTTCCACGAAAAAGAAAAAATTACTTTTTCTCATCATAGTGATGGGTTTATAGCCACAAACTGAATAACGAATAGCATGAAATAATGTACACAATAAGCCAAGTTTCACTCGAAATGATTGCGCACGATGTATGTTGGAACTTAATGAGTAGCTGATATTCCCTAGACACTAGAGTATATGGTGTAAGATGTGTGCGTGTATAAAACTACCATGATGCCGACATTACATCTCAGCCATGGGAATTTACAGATGACTGCGGATGTGGATGTGAGTGTGGACGCGTGTGGGTGTGGAATGAAGAATATGAGTGTAGATGGGTATGGGTATCCGCGTGCGTGTCGGTCTGGATGTCCATCAGAATGTGGAATGTCGATGTTGGAAGACTATACCAAAACCTGTACCCACACTCATCTGACAACCATATGCACACACTCATCATATTTTCGTCATCACAAATTAATGTCCTTTAGACTATTTCAAGTAAAACAAAGTTCTTATATATAGACATATTAATTTTTATCGAGATCTTTTATTTTTTTTTTTGTTGATTCCGTATATAATCTAATTCTTTATAATTTGTTTTTTTTTATTTATTTTCATTTTTTATCAAGTCTCATTTTTGTTTTTATATTTTTAAATTTATTTTTTCTTTAAAATAAAAGTAAACATTGCTGAACATGAAAGAAATATTCGATGATGCAGAAAAAAAAACTAAATAAATTTCGTTATCACCACATGAAGATCAGCAAACTGGTATCATATATTAAAACGTATGTAGAAGTTGAAGCACATAGTGAGGACATTACCCCATTAGTCTATTTTGATTATCTTCGTTACCAGGAGAATATCCTTTTCAGTGGTGTGCATTAAGGAAAAATATTTTCCCCTTTCGAAAAGAACATCCGCTTCACTTGTTGCTTATCGTGTTCTAATATAAGATGAATTAAAATCTTTTCGATTTATCCATTGCTCGTGATGTACATATAGATGTCGATAGTGAGAAGTGCACTGCTATTGATAGAACGAATGAAACGACTTTTTTCTAAGACACAGCATATTATGACTCTCAAATGAGTAGACAGAACGAGAAGGGAAGCGAGAATGTATGGAGTAAATAACGAACCACATACGTTTTTCTTTTTCTCTACATATTTTCTTCGCAAATATTGTTTTTGCTTCTACAAAAAACACTATGCCTCCAAAACGTAAACATGCTTCTTCCACAACTACCACTAAATCAAGCTCTGCAAAAAAGAAACTTAACAGACCGAAAAATTCATCGAGAACAACAGCAGAAACAGTCGATGAACAAGCATCAAGCAGTGACAATAATGAAGAATTAAAACATTTGACACTGTTAGAAAGTGGTCATGTTGATTTTATTTATAGCGACAATGGCAATGAGAAGAGACCAATTTATATGATTTTAACACCGAGTAGAACACAAGATAAGACATCTAAACGACGCATAATTTTTACAAAAACCGAAACCAAAGAAGATCAAAATCTGTACTACGTTCGAATAGAAAATATGGGTAAGAAGGCAGAACAAAACACCTCCCGAGCTTTTTACAAAAACAAAATATTCTATTGTAGTTAACCTTTGAATTTTTGATCGAGAAAGTTTTGAAAACTCAAAATTTATACATTACCTTAACCGGGCTAAAAAAGGTACTAGTTCTAGTCGACCGGTTAATAATTTAGGTCGATTGTTGAGTCATGCTGGCCAATTAATACAATTTTGTTTAGCTTGGATAAAACTGGCAAAAATGGGTGGTTTTAAAATTTTTCTTGTCTGTTCACATAACTCGTTTATCCTTTCTTTCTTAGCCAATACTGGATCAAGTAGCGAAGCATCAGTTACTCATCAAAATACCATCAATGTTGTAGGTCAAGTTGCTGTTGGTAAGTTGGCTTCTGTCAACTGAGATGTAGGTTATCGGCTCGAATTCTCTTTCGAAAAAGCTTTTAAATGAAAGTCTAATCAACTATAGATAGTTCATTATACTATGAATATAGAAATCGATACTTAGACAGACCTGCAGAAACTAATTTCGCATGGATCAAGCCTGAGCAAGCAAAAATCGAACGCTTATGAAAATTTTAAAATGACTTTCTAAAAAAATAAAAATAAGTTTTAAAAATTTGAACATAAGAATTATACTAAGATTTTGAAAATTACCTTTATCCCTTACACCGAATCTTTCAATATTCCTCTACAAATATCGCACTTCATATGCCTACAAAAGGGAAAAACAGCAAAAAAAGAGGAAGGCGATAACAATTTTTTGTATTATAATCCAAAAAAGTTTCTATTCCCTTCCCTTTTTGCTTTTTCTTTCACATCACTTCCTGGTATTGTTCGTTTTTTCATGTAATAGTACATGGCAATTTTGCAAAAACAATAACTCCTAGCATTACTGTAGTGATTGCGAGTTTACGAAGCATATGACGTGCGAGATTTGTTGAGAAATATTGGAGGATCCAATGCAGTGTGAGCTGAATTTTGAAATTTTGATTTAGAAAAAAACTTAAAATCAGAAATCTTAAAGGATCCTTCTATAAATATAAAAACGAATTCTCAAAATCTTAATGGATTGTCCAAAAATCTGCTGATTTCTAAAACGTTTTCTAATCCGTTAGGATGAAATACTAGCGAGAAAAGGCTTTGCTTTCTATGATTTTGTCATATTTTGAGCTTGCAAACGATTATAAGAATTTTTCGGACAAAACAAAAATCTACCATTTTTTTCTAGAATCTTCATGCCAGAAAAGAAGCTTTCGAGATAAAAAAATCTAGAAGAATAATAAGTCACAAGAAATGTATTTCGATCGTTTTTAGGTCATTACATGGTTATCCACGATAATCAGTCGAACAAAACACATTTTGCTTACAGTCTCAATGACAAAATAAATGAGCGACATGCAAAAACCGAACTAGAAAAGCAATTAATTATTTGCGTCGATGGTCACAATTCATTTACAATTGAAATATATAATCAAGAAGAGTATGAAAAGAAAGTTTTGGAAAAATTTCGAGAAAATCTTTGGTTGTGGAGTAGGTATACTTGTAAATCAGATACGTATTAAAACTATGACGTATCTTCTCACTTGCTATAGCTCATCCTGAAAGATTCATATTCGATGATGGTGTTGAAATGGCACTTACACAGGACAGCAAAGACTTAGTTAAACAAAATGGTAAGGTGGAAATTTGATCGTGCCTGAAGCCTAGTCATCAGACTAAAACAAGATGAGGATTACGGAATCAAGATATTGAAAAGAATTTTAGATATTTTACAGGAAGACAAATGAATGTTTTTCATCGGAAAAACGAGAAGATCTTGCTTCAGTGTTTCTCTTCTCATTTTTTTTTCAATAAAATAAAAAATTCTACAGTGAAACGGGACCTAAAGGACAAAAATCAAAAACCTTCTGAGATTTAGACGACGGTTAGACTAAAAAACGTTCGTTCAGCAAGATTCTAATGTCAACCCCAGCTTGATTAAAGCCGAACTTTGGCTTACGACATGTAGATGGAAACACTATAAAAGAAAATGATAAAAGCTTTGTTTTTCACAAAGTATTTTTTCGTTCTTTCGTATTTTTTCTCAGAAGAAGCTATATCTTTGGTTCTTTTTTCCTTTTTCCGTTATAGAGAACAGAACTATAAAATAAATCGGTAAATAGCGAATCACTGCTAGAGATTACGTCGCGACCAGCAGAACTAAGCATGAAATAAGAGTAGTTAACTCTGCTGTTGGTGAATTGTGCCGCAATAGTCCACCTGGATGAGTCTCACTAATCCTTTTCGTTTATTCTAAGGTCAATACCTAAAATCTCGATTATCACAACTAACACATTCAAAAGAGTATGAGCAACTCTGGAAGAAATTAAATGCTCATTTTAAATCAAATTCTAAGTATCAGAATAGTTATATTCCTGGTGTTAGTGAATATGAGATACAAGAAGCTGAACGACGTCTTGGCGGTATTATACTCCCAAAGGATATTAAACAAGCTATCCGTATTCATAATGGTCGTCTGAAACAGGGCTTTGGTCTTTCATATCGTTCACCAACAACTGATCTTCTACCATTAGCTGAATGGCATCCATATGAAAATGAAGAATGGTGTAATGATCTATTTGAACAACTAGTAGACGATGATGACAATAAAATAGGTGAAGGTCTTATGAAAGATGATCTAAGAGAACATTTAAAAGTGTATAATGATAAAAAGACTGTGAAGAGTAAAGAATTTCGTGAAATGAAAAGTGAATTATTGGTAATTGGTGAAGGTATGGATGATTATGTTGAACAATATCTATTGGGATTGAGAACGGGTACAATTTATTTGCAAATATTAAATTTACCTGAATGGATGAAAATTGGTACATTTAAAGATTGGGTTCAATATGCATTGGAAAATAACAATTTTGAAGAAGAAGAAAATGAAAAATCGGAAGAAGAAGAAGAAGACAATGATTGAGAGAAAAGAAGTGTATACACCTTTTATAGAACTTGTTTTTAATTAAAAAGACCTTTTTTCTTTGATGTTGACTTTTTTTTTGAAGGAAACAGTTTGGCGAAAGAAGGAAAAATATCGTATGAAATATGGAAAGCGATATAGCTTTTCGCTGTTATATTGTTGCACTCTGTGATACTTTGTGAATGAAGATAGCTGAGACCTATGATTACATCATCAGATACAGGGCATCGGAGCACACAAATCTCTTGGAAACTTCTGCTATCTTTTTATAGCTTTTGTGAAATTCCTCCCTTATACAAAGAAGAAGGAGTTTCAGTTTACACTCAAAAACCATGTGTATCGATCTCAATTTGTACTCTCTCCTCCTTGCTTGCGTGATCTTAAAGTGGTCTTTCTACGATTTTAAAGTTTCGCACATCTTTTACGAAAAACTGCGAATGTTGTTTAAATAGGCTTTGTATCACCTGAAACTGACCTTTACACAACCTATTAGGTTGGCAAGAAGTGTTTTGCTTTTTTTTCGAAAATTTCTTTTATTTTTTAACTTCAAGAATACAACTAGCTTCCAACAATATATGCTCTATTACTATCTGTGACTTGTCGCCGACGCTCTGGTAGAAAAAGAGAAGTCGACGAGGTCCGAGAACAAGTGGTAGTCGGTGAGAGTTAAATCTGGAGAATAAGGTGGATGCGAGAGTGTAACCCATCCAAGCTTCAATAATTTTTCACGCGTCGACTTTGCAATATGAGGTCCGGCGTTGTCATGTAAAAAATAAATTCTATCTTGCTTCTCCTGGAGTTTTGCTGCAACTCGGTCTAATTGCTCACAATAGAGATCACCAGTGATGGTGCAGTCAATTAGAAGAAGTTCGCAATGAATAATCCCATTTACTCCCCACCAAACGCTCACCATAATGTGCTTTGGGTGAAGGTCATTTTTGGATGTTGGCAAACCTGTTTTTCCAGCTTGCAGTCACTGTCGCTTGCGCAAGTGATTAACATACAACACCCACTTTTCGTCGCCGATAATAAGATTGTGGAGCCATTGGTAGTTGCGATGAGATGTCATTAATTCCATACAAGCATTTTTGAACTGATTGAACCAATGTTACGCTGTACGGATGAAGAGCACATCCTTGCCCATCGTGCCGCATATGTTGTTGGTTGCTTCCGTTGCTTTGCGATCCAAACGGATTTCATGAAGCAAAAGCACTCAAAGCTCTCTACGAGATATCTTCATTTCTAATTCGAGATCAACGTTCATATCCATAGTTTTGTTGTTGCTCGAAAGATATTTGTACCCCCTTTATATACCCTTAGTATGAAAGCTTCTAGAACTTTCTCGACTGCTCTAGGAAATTTAAAAAAAACGTAAAAATTGGGTGGGTGTGGGTGAGTGGGCGCTTGCACATGTTCTGTTCGACGCACCCACGCACACCCCACATCCATGTCTATACTCACACCCACACCTGATCAATAGATCATCTTACATTATTGAAGTAAGGATTATTGCGAAGAGGTTTGAAACAACTCGTATAATGAAGACCTCTACTCATACTAGTTATAATAAAATTTTCAAGGTCGAGGAGCGGGGCACTGTGGTATATTGAGGCTAACGAAGTGACTCGCCAGTCCTGTATAGATGAAATCATTATCTGGCCACCTGATAGCTCAAGTCTGAAACTAGTCGAGTTATTCTACCAGATCATTTAACGAATTGCTACGAATGAAAAACTTCAAGATATTGTTGAATTGAAAAGATTCAAACACGAAGAATGGAATAAAATTCATGTGTAACCTATAAGTTATTTAACCACTTCCAAGGAAGTAAGGTTGTTATCTCGTATAAACTCGCAGAGAGAGCGAAACTTTTTGTGATTAGTGTATTTGTAGAGTACAGTGTCTGTGTAATATAACAACATAAAAAAAGTCTCAATATCTCACACTTCTAGTGAGAAGAACTTTGGAAAGTCTAACGATAATTATTTTTGCACTCCACTGTATCTCATTGGATATGCACACAGGTCTCATTTTCTTTTTATGAAGTCTCAAGAAATATTCACTGTTTGTTCTTTTCTGCTTCTGTTCTGTACATTGTGTTATGGTTCAGCTGATATATACATTGATCAGACATTCATAAAAGATGAAGTAGGTCGTATACGTCTTTATCATAGTGCTAATTTTGTCAACAAAGGCTTTCCATGATATTCATCGAAATTGCTTGATTCCATTTTTGTTGCTAATATGTCAACATTATGGGGTTTAAATTTTGTTCGGCTTGGATATGTTCAATGGAACAATAATAAATATATTCCTTATTTTATAAATTTATTAAATTCATTTCACATAATAGAATGATGTGAGCAGGTGTTGAACCAGAACCACAAAAATACAATTATACCTATTTAAATATAATGAACGATATTGTCAAATTACTTGAATCCAATAAAATATGTCTTACTTGATATGCATCAAGATGTATTGAATAGTCGATCGGGTAGTTATGATGGCATACCCGCATGATTATATGATAAATTTCTACCGCCTTCTCCTCCATGCAAGTATTTATTATCGATTGAATTTTTGTGAAAAATAATAATAATAATAATTTTATTTGAAGACCCTTGGCCACTCAAAAAAGTTGACAATTGGTTTCTTGGGTGAGTTATGAAAATTTTTCTATTTTTATCTTTCATTTCTTTTCTTCGTAAATATAAATACAGTTATATAACGGAAGCATGTTCACATGATTTTCAATGTTTATATGACAATGTTGATAGTGCAGTCGGATCACTGTGCAACTGTTGGCGTTTGATAGATACTACTTTCAGTTCATATTCGAATTTATTAGGGTGAGCATCTTACGTAGACAAAAATGAAATAGATATAATAGAGAATTTCTTAATTCAATGAATTTCATATCTAAGACATCCAGAAGCTACACCGCTACATAGCTTCATACAAATGTAAAGAATTTCAATAAAATTGTTTAGAACTACTTGATCACTTCAAAGTCGGTCTTTTCTTTCTCTCATTTGAGCACGTAAAAATACAGAATCAGTTCTCAAAATTATCAGTTTTCTGCTTCCTTTATTGTATGAGTCACTGCTCATGACAAAAGTCAACTTGAATTAATGAACATTACAAAAAGACATTTTCTTCTTTGATTCATGAACGATTGAAATGCATTCTACAATATTCGATTTTTTCTTTATTTGAAGAATATGCGAGAAAGAATCAGAAATAAGAACACGTAGTTTTTACTTAGACTAGTTACAAACTTTACTTTTGGAAAATTGACTTCTCTTCAATGTGCACTTCTAACATATTAGCAAAATATTCATGTCTTTCTATGAAAATGAAATAGATACGAATTCATCAATGAACCATGGATTGGAAATTATTTGGTTAATCCATTTTTGCTTTTACTTGGCATTGCTGGCTCTCAAAATCTTCAACCATTATACGACAAACTGGCAAAAGTGATTTGATCAGTTGATAATAAGACGTTAATCTTCTATGAACCTGTCACTTGGAGAGATTTGTAACAATGAAGAAGTACGATTAAAAATATGATATTTTATTCTATCTCTAGTTCGACTTAATGGAAAGTATATGGGCACTGGATTCACACATGTGCCAGGCGGTAATACCGAATTTGGTGGATGTGACGATTCACCGACGTGTGATGGACAGTTCAATTGACGTTTGCAGGCTGCTGATCGATATTTTCAATCATGGGCTTACTGGGACGATGTTTACGGTGATATGGCCACAGTCAAGTGATTATCACGAATCTATGCTTGTGCTATCACAGGCTTGCTCAATGTCATGGAATATAGTGTTGACATACAAACATTCTTATTACAATATTTTCTTGATATATCAATTGAGAAACCAACAGAAATTTATCTATCACCTTTAGTCTATCCAAAAGCAAGTTACAATATCACTATTAATGAAAATATTCAATGGAAAATCGATCCGACTGATTCAAATATAATTCTGACCAAGCCAATTAAAAAACATATTCATAGTGAAGAACGAAATGCTATAGGAATCGTGTATATCACTCCAAAGGACTAGTAATTTGAATTTATCTTGCAAATACCATTCTTTCAATTATTTCTGGTAATGAATGTTACGTGTCAATTCTTCTTTTTCTTTTTTTTTAATTACAACATACGGTGGCCAAGCGTGTTTTCATTTTTAGTACAATAAATTTCATATAATTTCTTCTCTATGATTCATTGAATGAAGTTTTCAGTTTACTCAAATTGGTTTATCAATTTGTGGATGATAACAACCTTGTCAGTTTGATGTTTACCGTTACTTAGTCTCTCTACATCAAGATCAATTATTGCTCAACAATACAACGGATCGAATATTATCAGCATCAATACTGAAACTATCCCAAATGCAACGAATGACTCGGTTTTTTTTTTGAAAGTCTTTTTTATAGAACGAGATAGCAACGTGATGGTATGACAACAAAACGGAACAAAAATATAATCACCTTTCGCAAGGGATCGAACCTTGTATCTTCTGCTTTTCGGGCAGCTGTACTACCACTATAATACTGTAGTGTGTTTCATTTTTATTTTTTGACTTTACAAATGATTGTTTAAATGAATGATATTTTGTCTTTTTCAAAGCTTTATTCATCGGAAACAATTTTTTCTTTCTGTTTTTTCCGTTGATTTTCTTTTTTTTTATTATTTCGTGCATTTCAATTTCAACTAAATTCTCATGTTAACTGTAACATATATGAATAGATCAGAATGAAGAATATAAAAATTGTGATTACAAATCATAACCATTTTCATCGACCAATCTCATATAGAATTTATATGTGCAAAAAAACGAAAACAAAGAAAAATGATCACATAAAATTACTCTCTATGATCGAAATCCAATAAATACATATATACATCGTTTTTCATCACGCATCATTAACAATATACAATATAAAACCATATACTTTTGTTCTATATATATACAAATTCGATATTTTGATTATGATCAATAATATAATTGAATACAAAATTTTCTCAGTAGACACGATTGAGATCAGTCTCAACTGAATTCTAGAACACTCTACGTATGTGAGAATTATATAACAGACATTTGTTTAGACAATCTAATAGTTATCCTTTGATCATTCGTATCATAGTACTAATACTTAGGTGTATCCAAAAGTAATGCCGCCTCTATCTCATTTCTCTATTAAAAGGTCAAAAGAAAATTCTTTTTTTACAGAAAGATAGAGAAAATGAAGCTCTATTTTTCTATACTATTTGATCCTACTTCAGCTAATATCATAGTAATAAATTTTCGATGCGAAATGTTTTTGTGTAAAACTTAACTAACCAGTAGGCCATTATGAATACCCGCGTTTCTAATACACTTTAATAAAAACCGGTATATACCAAAAGATGCAGCGTGGGAAGTTCTACAAACTACAAAGTAAAGCTTATTTTAATTGTATACTTTTTGTTTTTGAAAAAAAGCAAACCTCTGTGCGACCAATTGTGGCTGTTGCGAAAAGTCATTTTTTCTACACAAGCGAAAAACTTTTTTTCCTTATTTCATATTTTTATGATCTAATACGTTTTCTTAAAAAACGAAATATACCAAAAGATGCAGCGTGGAAAGCTCTACAATTTACAAAGAACAGTTTATTTTAATTGTGTACTTTTTGTTTTCAAAGTTCTGTGAGACCAACTTTCACCGTTGCGAAAGTTGATCACACAGAATTTTTCTTTTTTTGAAAACAAAAAGTACACAATAAAAACAAACTGTTCTTTATGAATTGTAGAGCTTTTCACGCTGCATCTTCTGGTATATTTGATTTTTGATAAAACGTACTAGATGAAAAAATAAAATACAAAATGTGACTATTCATTGTGGCCTCCGCGTTAGTTAAGTTTTACACAAAAACAGTTGGCATCGAAAATTTATTACTATGATATTAGCTGAAGTAGGATCAAATAGTATAGAAAAATAGAGCTTCATTTTCTCTATCTTTCTATAAAAAAAGAATTTTCTTTTGACCTTTTAATAGAGAAATGAGATAAAGGCGACATTACTTTTGGATACACCTAAGTATATTCTCTGATAGAATCAGTTGAATTTATAACGAAGAGATATTTATTAATCATGAATAATAACAAAGAAAAACAAATTACATAAAACAGTTTTACAATTATACTCGATGAAAATTAAGACAATTTGTAGTTCTAATAGCCAATATGTTTGAACCAAATAAAATAGCATTATGAGCTGTTGGTTCGTATGAACGTTTTGCTTTCACTTTTCCATCTTTATTAATATGTAAAAGATGTGATGTTTTATGGTCGATTACAAGCCACTCATCACATGTAAGTGAACAAATACGATTGACTCGTCCACCCTGATATGTTATATCAAGAGGAAGTGACCAAAGTTGATCGAGTGTTGATGAAGATCGAACTTCTATACGTACTATTTTATTGGAATAATATTTAAAGGATTGGCATGATATTAATAAAGCAAGTGTTCCATTATTATAAGCAATATTATAAATAAATTCATCTTTATTACAAATTTGAGGAAATTTCCATTGTTTAATAAAACGAAATGATGATAAAAGATTGAATTCAAAAATACCAGAATGTCCATCATTAGTCGTAAGAAATAGAGATACATCCGAGCATGTACAAGACAACCAATCCTTCTTCTCGATTGTTTCAATAGATTGAATTAATGTTAAGTTTTCATTAACTTGAAAAACTCCATTTTTATTTGTAACCATAATAAAACAATTTAATGTTGAAGACCAACACATATCAGAAATACGATCATATTTCCATGGACATTGTTTTACAATAGTTAATTCTTTATCAAATAAACATAAATTAGGATATTGATCCAATAGTAAAAATCGATTATTGCTAGTTAATACAGGCCAATCATTATTAGAACAATCGATTGTTCGATAAAGAGACGAAAGAGTTGATATATCAATTTCATTCAATGTCCATTTTTCAATATAAATCAAATTGTTGTTAACAATTAAAGGATGAACATCAACTAAAATGCCATTTTCTTCAAATTGGTTAACGTCACGTTTGATATCATTAATAATTGCTTTAAAATGAAGAAATATTATCATAGGTAGTTTCTTGTTCTCGAATAAGTTCATTTGTTTTTAATTTTAACTGATGAATTTTTTTCCGTTTTTGACTAAATCGTTCAATACAACGTTGTTGTAATTCTTGAAATTTTTCTTCATAAAAACGATCAATTTCTTTATGAGAATTATGACGCCATTTATCTAATTTTTGACGACATTTATCAATGATTTCATCAACATTTAATACCAATAATTGATTATCAAGATTATTAATTTCATCAACAAGGGGATGTATTTGTGAATTTATTGAATCATCATGTTCTTTTAAATGATCAGGACAAAGATTTTTATTACAACAATGACATAATGCTCGCGTGATTTACGTTTGCATGTTTCAATAACATATGGTGGAGGCATTATTTTATCAAGAGATAGTGACTTCCTTTTGCCAGTAGTTATCAATATATATATATATATATATATATATTGTCCCAACTAGACAATAAATAAATGAGGACGTCCGAAATGTCCATACTACTCGTCATAACCAGTCATTTCGCGAGGAATGTCCTCCAATTATGTTTGGAATAGTCCAAAACATGCTCACATTAATCATATCTACTCTGTTTTGTCTATTCATTCATTTTTGTTCAGATTAGTGAGCAGAATGCAGAAGTGAGAAAACAAGAAGACGAAAGATGAATTCGAGTATATGATTCGGCACTGGGTGATAAGTTATTGTTATAAATAATAGATCAATAACAAAGAACTTTTTATTTTGAAGAAAAATCTCAACTTGAATCACTGCCTATTTCAACTATATCGATTCTGTTGACCTATACATAAGGAATGAATTTGCTACTGTTATGGCGTCAATTGAATTGGAAATCTGAAAATTTGTATAGCTCGCATGAATAAAGATTTCACATGTTTTGAGTCCATTGAATTCTCTTGATATGATAAGATAGTTTAAATTCAAACAGTTTTCTGAATTCAAGAAAGGGTGTGGATGTGGGTGGGTGTGGGTGTGGGTGGGCGTGGGGTGTGGGTGTGGATGTGGGTGGGCGTGGGGTGTGGGTGTGGATGTGGGTGGGCGTGGGGTGTGGGTGTGGATGTGGGTGGGCGTGGGGTGTGGGTGTGGATGTGGGTGGGCGTGGGGTGTGGGTGTGGGTGGGCGTGGGGTGTGGGTGTGGATGTGGGTGGCCGTGGGGTGTGGGTGTGGATGTGGGTGGGCGTGGGGTGTGGGTGTGGATGTGGGTGGGCGTGGGGTGTGGGTGTGGATGTGGGTGGGCGTGGGGTGTGGGTGTGGATGTGGGTGTGGGTGGGCGTGGGGTGTGGGTGTGGGTATGAATCAGAGTTGTCACCTCTTCTGCTTATTGAAGTTTTTTCTGTTTTTTTCTGTCGTTTCTGCTTTTTTTGATAGGGCGTTATTTATTATTTCAATCAACATTTTCCACCTGAAATACCTTCGTTTCCATAATTATTTTAAAAAAGCTGTATCAAAAACTACTAATATTCTTGTGCCATTCTAATTCTCTCTATTTGGTACAGATGATTTTTATTTTCTACTGCCTACAAACAACTACCAACCTATATATTTAGTTTTAAATCAATTCTTTACCTATGCTTTTTTTTATCGCATTTTAATTACTCATGTAATTCATATACATCAACATATACATTCTTTCGTTTGTTTACTCAATAGCGAAGAAGATATTGACAAAGCAGTGGTAGTTGCTGAAGTAATAATTATGTCATCAGGAGTTAAACCAGAAAACAGAAATTGAATAGAATTATCTTCAACAGAGAATGGTTCAAAGCCGTCGAATATTAATCATCTTTAAAAGAATATAAATTTGATTCGTCTCAACTAACATTTATCATTCGTCATCAACATTTTCCCGAACATTGCTAATAAAAAGCTAATATTGATAATCTTATGAGCAATAAGAAAGAAAAAAATTTTAAATGCTATGATTTAATCAACAATTCTTCTGAATTTCTCCCTATCATCCATTGTAATGGATAAATATTTATTAGGTAAACAGGTTTTGCCAAAAGCTCTTAAATCAGATGAAGAATACTCTTTAAAAAGAAAACGTGTTCAATGGTTCTGTCTATTTGTTAATTGGTTGTGTTTTATGATGCCATACAATACGAGTGATCAGTATACTGAAACTAAAATTTAAAACTAACGGGTAGCTAGTAATAAAAGAGGGCCTCGGTATTTTGTTAACATCTTAAGCGGTATCTTGCCGTTCACGCTTTATTTTTTTATCGAAAGATTCACTGTCTGATTCTGTAGAAATTGGTATATTTCGTTGTAAAAAACACTTATCTCTCTTTCAACATCATCGTGATTTAAAACAAGTATTACACATAACTTTCAAAGTCTTCATTTTTTTCCAACATTTTTCCAAAATGTCCAGTTTTTCAATTAATTCTGTTACTTTGGGTATAATTTGTTCGCCACTGAAGAGATAAATTGGTTCATTTCAATCAACGTACCAAAGGCAGTTTATTTTATTGCTGGATGAAGAATATGGCGCGACCAATGATAATAAGTCTAATCTAAGGACTGGATGTTTTGGATAAAAATTGAAAAAAATACAGATTTTGAAAGTTGTGTGCAGTGCTGTTTTTAAATTGTGGTGATATCGAAAGAGAAAGAAATAAGTATTTTTACAACGAAATATGCAATTTGCGCAGAAGCAGAAGGTGAATCTTTTGATAAAAAAATAAAGCGTGAGCGATAAGATAACACTTAAGATGTTAACAAAATACTGAAACCCTCTTTTATTACGAGCTACCAGTTAGTTTCATATCATAAACATACTTTCTGCTGTCTTTCTGCTTTTCGGACTTCAAAAGGTGACAACACTGGTGTGAATGTGATTGCTCCCTTCATCAACAACCACCCCGCAAACAGACATCCACAGTCACATCCACACCCACGCGAGGTAGGTATACTTAGGTCAACACATCCATATGATTTCCATTGAAATCCTCGGAACACACTTGGTGATGTTCCCTTGTTAGAAGGAATCCTATGAAAGTGAATTACTATCTCACATATCATAAAATATGTGGAAAGAAGAACAAAGAAAATGCTCGAAGACTTTAGGTGAAACAGAATGATATAATATAGTTTTGATACCTATTTCATCTTTGTACCTCGATAAAAATATCAACCACATACGACGCTTAGAATTAATCGTTAAAATACTGGTTTATTCTATACTATTTATTTTTATATAGATTACTTATTGAAAAACTAATCAGCTGTTCGCTCTTTTATCCTTACACATCGACGAAGAGTCAGTCGTTTATATCTTGACGTGTCTATTATATGAAATAATGTTTCTAAACATATTATTGTACGTTAAAAAAAGATTTCTAAAAAGAGATTTCATTAATGGATTTTTTATTTCTTTAGACTATCTTTGTGGATAAAAACTACAATTGAAGGTAAGAATTTAGTTGAAATATATTTCGAAGAAAGAAGAAATTATTTTCTATGATTTCTTTTCAAGCTAAACAATTGACATCAATCTATGATAGTCTAATGGATAGTGTTCCAGATTATTCTCGTTTTTTCACTGTTGATGAACTTTACAATCATTCACGCACTGTCGCATTGAATCATACATCCTTTGTACAATATCAAAACATTGGCTATTCTCAAAATGGTGAAGCCATTCCAATGTTAACAATGGGTAATGGAAGTAAATCTCTCTTACTTTATGCATGTCCACATCCAAATGAACCAATTGGATCTCTTCTAATCGACTTTTTACTTAATGCTCTAATTGATTATCCTCAATTACTTCTTACATATACTTGGCATTTGATTCCATGTGTTGATCCCGATGGAACGCGACTTAATGAAGGTTGGTTTTCAGGTCCATTTACTATTCGTAATTATGCACGAAATTTTTATCGACCACGTACAGAAGAACAAGTCGAATGGACTTTTCCAATTACATATAAAAATTATAGTTGGACAACACCTTCAAATGAAACTCAAGCATTAATGTATGCAATTCGATTAATTCAACCAGATTTTGTTTATGGTTTACATAATTCGGGTTTTGGTGGCATGTATTATTATATTAGTCAACCTCTTTTTGATATATTTCCTCAATTAGAACGTCTTCCATCTTCATTAGGATTATTCTTAGCTAAAGGTGAAGCTGAAGCTCCTTGGGTCATTCGATATGAATCTGCGATTTTTAGTCCATTAAGTTTGCCGAGTGCATACGATTATTATGAGAAATATACTCATAGCGATCCGGTAACAATGATGAGTGGTGGTGGTACTAGTTTTGATTATCTTGAAGAAATTGGTCTGAATAAAACGATATTTCTCATGGCAGAATTACCATATTTTCAATCACCTATGGTCAAAAATGATACAATCATTCCAAATGTGACACGACGTGATGTACTTCTTCAAGGACTTGATAAAGACAATGAAAGTAATGCTATTCTAATGGATTTATTGACACAAATCAAACCAGCAATGACATTTAATTCGTCATTCTATCGTGCATCTCGTTCATTATTAGAATTATATAATACAACTGCTGCTAGTCGTCGTCAAGCTGTACTAAATGATAATTCTACTCTTGTACCAGCTACTGTTGCTAGTCAAGCGGATGCATTATATATCTCGGTGTTTTATAAAATGTTGATCGCTAGTATGTTAGATCGTGCAATCATATGGCAAATGGAACAACCATCAGCAGATAGAAAATTACTTGAAAATGCTCGAATTGAACTTGAAAGTCATCTTGATGATTGGATTAATGATATTGAGCAAAATTTACCTTATACACCTATTCGTATTCGTAATCTTGTACAAGCTCAATTAGGAGCAATGCTAATAGTCTTACAAAAAGTTGGACGTTGATGGAAAAACTTTCGAAGTCATACTGTCGTTTGTATTAAATTCATTCAATAAATAAACTTTAAAAAACACGTTAATATTAAAATCGATTCTCAAAACAAAAGAAAAAACATAGTCAATAAAGTTCATCTAAAATATCATTTTAGTCTTTATTTTTATTCAGTTGGAATGAAAAGTACTCGACTAATATTATCTCGCTTTACGTTAACTATATCTGGATATTTATATGTATCTTCTTTCGTATTAACTATAAGTCGATCAATAGTCGAACTCATCGGGTCCAGGCCCAAAAATTGTTGGACCCAATGGGTTCTAGCATCATTATCAATTAATTTTCTATTTTTTAAATCTTGTGCAGTAATAGCAATACTATTCGCTATATCAACAGATTTTTTCGATCATTCAGCTACTTCACACATTAATCCTTTGAGTACCAACGTCCTGAATAAAGGATACTTTTTCCAAATTACTTCAATTTTGAATGAGTTATGTACGTGAAATAATATCGAAGTGTGATTTTCTGTATGACATATAAGAAATTTCGGTATATACATCTATATAACAGTTATAATGCTAATGAGGTCAGGCAAGTAATTGACTAATAGAAGAATTCAAATTCTACAACGACTTGCATTCTACTCATCATAAAAGCTATTGATTAACAACATTCTGTTTCAGCTTTGGGAGATGTTTTGACTACCATAGTAATAATTTTACAAAGCTATATAATGAGACTTTGGTGTCTTTATTCACACAATGCACTTCCATTTCATCGAAAATTAACTGGATAAGGATGAGAGCTGCAAAGAATTTCAAAGACGACCGCAATGATGAGGCTGTGATTTTTCACGAAACGAAACTAATCATCTAGAGAGATGGTTTGTCGAGAGACAATAATATATTGATCAATTTCATGACAGGTCAAGGATTTATTCACGACTGCATGTCAAGAAGAATTGATGTCGAGCCAATATTTTCTCAAATTATACTAATTGTTATCGACAAATTGGTCAATAAAGGAAACTGAAATAGAAACTGTATGCTACTCTTATTTAAAACGGTTTCATTAGTTCAAACAATACCTCCAATTGAAAAGATAATTCTTTTAAGTGGTATAAATAAGACATAGCAAACTTTTTTGATCATGTGTTAAACACCAAAGCTTCCTATGAAATAGCTTCTTCAATAAAAAAAAATAGAATTATCTATGTCTTTTTATACGTGTCAATAAACGAGATAAAATTTTGAATAATTTCCAAGTTTCATTACCTGATATATACTTATAACATAAACTCACAGAACGGTTTTTTTCGTTAAATCAGGCAAGACAGTCAAGAGTAAAAAAAGGGAAAAACAAGCCGATTAACACTACCTGGTTATCATGGAAGGAGAAAAAAGTCAATTTTCAGTTCTATGTACAGATTCATCTTATTTCAGGTTAAGATCACATTTGGCCCTTCTAATCGATTGAACGGATTACATGTGTCAATAGTAGAATTACTGTTTCTGTTCAAAAACTAATAGTAATTCATCTGTTGATAGATATCATTCATTCCATCGATGATATTGTCTCGTTTTCTTTCTTTCTTTTGTTAATCCAATGAACTATGGTTACATTGGAATAGTAACCGTAGAATCTCGTTTTCTTTTCACTCGCAGATTACTTCACAGATTACTCACGAATTAATACAAATGTTAGAAACGTAAATTTCGACGACATAAATTATTTAAAAAATTGCTCATGCGCCGACTAAACTGTGAAATGAAGATCGATATACATAAGATGGAATCAATTTTTTTATCGTACAACCTATTGTAAGGGTGTGGATGTAGATATGGAGAGGTCACCACCCACACCCTTCATTTAAAACAACAATTTGAACACTTATTAGGAATACCATTTGATAATCAACAGCTATTTTATGATGATATCTTTTAGATAAGTAACGTATGAGTAAGCCATAGAAATAATATGACTCAAATTTATACAGACGTTTTTTATTGCTTTAATCGTTGTGTTTTTATAAAATTGAATGATAGTGTCGCAGCTAGCACACTTCTGTTCTTTCATCATTCGTTCGTTCTTTGAATGTTGTTTTTTTTTTCGTCAAAAGTTCATGATTCACTACTAACAACGTGCCGTACGTCATCCAATGAGATATAGAAAACAATGCAGCGACATAAAAATGAATCGTTCTTTTATTTCTTATTTGCTCATTCTTCTTACCACTACAAAGATATACAAGACAAGAAAGTACAATACAACAAACCAACAAAGTTATCATTAATACTCACTTTGTCGTTGTATATTGAAGAGTTCTTGAAGATGAATTTGTGGCTTTCTTCTAAAGGCTTTAAAACTCTTCTAGCTGAGCCAGAATCCCAATCAATCATATTTTCCTTGGTAAATTTTATAGTATTGATTTTTGTCCTGTTTTTTCTTCTTACATGGCCTTACACATTATTTTACTTGGTTGCTCATGTTGCTATCTTCACTTTTGTAATTAAGCGCCTGTCAGCTGGTCGTTTATATATTCCAAAAAAGAATTTGAACAATCAAATTGTTGTTCCCTTTTCTGAAAGAAAGGGTTATAGGGTCGTTAAAAATGCTTAAAGTTTGTTTGTTTGTTTGCTTGTTTGTTTGCTTGTTTGTTTGCCTAATCCAATCAGATTGCAGCAAAATTTTATCCTTGAAAATTCTTTGTATTTTACCTCAGAAAACATTCATACTAGGGTAGCTGAGGTCAGTTTTTTTAAAAAAAATTTTTGTACTATTTTTTGGGACAAAGAACCATTTTTTTATAAGGGTTGACCGAAGAGTTTTCGGGGTCGAGGAACGCGAATCTGAGGTCAGTTTTTTTAAAAAATATTTTTTGTACTATTTTTTGGAACAAAGAATCATTTTTTTGTAAAATGAAATTTTTTTATAAGGGTTGACCGAAGGGTTTTCGTGGTCGAGGAACACGAATCTGAGGTCAGTTTTTTTAAAACAACTTTTTATGCTATTTTTTGAGGCAAAGAAGCCTCCCCCTCAAAACAATCTTTTTTGTGAAGCTCACGTATGTTTTCGAAGAAAATAGTGAGTGTAAGTTTTAAGTTCGAGGTTTGGCAGCTTCTTCCGCACCCCATTATAGACACATAGCAACGGAGAAAGAGAACATTACAGACATACCCCCCCCCCCCCCAGACCCGCCCCTTACAGACCTTAGGGACCTTCTGTCTTCTCATTATAGACCTAAGACAGTGCGATGAAAAATCATCAAATATCTTTCTGTACGAAGCACCGATCCTGTACAGGACAAAAATGAATTTATCAATATGTGATTTTAAAATCACAAATATAAATGTTTATTGTTGAAATGGTATATGAATTCATTTATATTAAAATAGTATAACCATATTGTAGCTTGTATGTGGCCGTTTCGATTAATAAAGACAATCTAGTATTTTTTTTGTCACCATATTGTGAAAAAAACCAGTAGTGTTATAATTTATGTAAGTTTTATTTCAAGTAATTAATTAGTACTATCAAATAATAAAAATAACAATTAATGGTGTTATTGAAGTTTTATTTATGGATATATTGAAAATTATCTGAATTTTTCCTGGTCACTATACGAAAAAAGTGTTAGTGAGAACGTTTCATTAGTTTTTTTTGCTTGAGAGGACTCTTTAAATTGAAGATTTAGAGTTATACATATATCTGCTATTCACTGTTAAAACGGGTTGTGTTGACATATCATTTTCCCATACCATGATAATTATTTCAGATAATATTAAATGTTTAATAAATATTTAAAGTATTATGATGATAAATTTTGTTGAAAATTTTCAAAATCGAATTAATGGCCGCCATTTTTTGTATTATTATCAAAACAATTATGATAAGGAAAAAAAACACTGACTGTTAAAGATATATTTGATAATAAAAATTAGAATACTTCTAAAAGGAAACAATATTGAATATAAGAAATAAATCTATATTAGATTACCATTTATAATCTGAGATATATTGAAAGTAGTAAATTTTTATTGTGCACATTTGGTGATATAAAAATTCGTAACATTTCGTGATATTTTATTGAAAATTTCTAATAAGATACGCTGTTTATTTTCATGGTAAAACAGTCATTTAAGATAACTTAAAAAAGGAATTTAATTTCATTTTAAAAACAGCTCGTATTTACCTAGTCAAAATGAGTGCCATTAGAAAAATAAATAATAATGAAAATGATATTTTTTGTTTTTTTAATGACTGATAAAACAAATATAGACAATTATAGTTATTTCAAAATTTGTATCATCATATGTCATAGTATTTAATGATTAGACACTTGAATAAACTAGTGAATATTGTTGTAGTGACTAAAACGCAAAATAATAGATAAATTTTTACCAATACTAGCTATTTTGGTTCGTATAGAATACATTGAAAACACCCAAAAAACATGGCTGATTGTGGGTGTGCGGGTGTGGGTGGGTGTGGGTGGATGTGGGTGTGGGGTGTGGGTGTGGGTGTGGGTGTGGGTGTGGGTGTG